CACAAACTCTCTCCATTCTCTCTCATACCCACATACACTCTACATTCTCTTTCTCACACAGGCACATTATACATTCCTCTTTCTCACACATACACACACACATTCACACAAACAAAAGTGTGCATGCACAGATGCTCTTCTAACCCTAAGACAAAATTCTCCATAATAAAGGAAAAAGATATAAATGTGATCAAAACATCAGAAAACCCAAAACAGATGGCACAGTACTCTAAAAGATGTTGAGGAATTCTATACATTTAATAAAATTTTAGAATGTTTTGATTTATTGCTGATTTTTTGTTATTGTTGTTTTGTTTTGACATTGGGGATCAAACTCGAGACCTTACATTTACAAGGCAGGCAGCAGCACCACTGAACTAATTTCCCAGCCCATTTATTACTATTTTTTTAAGCCAGTTGAAAGCCAGGCATGACAGAGCACACCTGAAATCCAGCATTCAGGAAGCTGAGGCAAATTTGACTGGAGTATAGCATGAGACCTGTCACAAAAAAACAAAGAAAGGAAACAAATCAAAAAGCCAGTTGAAATTTCTAAATTTTAAAGGTGGGAAATTACAGTAGGTATGGTGTTGGTGGAAAACTCACAAATCCCTTCATGAAGAGAATGAGGTATCTAAAACACAGGGAAGATGACAGCTTTGTTCAGCACTGGAATTCATCTTTAACAAGAGAAAATAACAACCTAGGGCTTTGTCAAAAGTTCACACATTTAATTTGGAAAAGAGAAAATTGCAGTGAGTAAATGAGACCAATGCTAAGGTGCCCCAGAATTAGGAGAGTGAACTAAAAAGCATCGAAGTAATATGTCACATTATTTCTGGAAGTGTAACTCGAGATTTTTTCTAAAAAGTATGACCACAGGTGTTGGGGATCCCAAATACAGTCAAGGTGATATGAGGTGGAGATGGGGCAAGAATAGAGTGGAGAAAAGGCAATCAAATTTAAGCACAACTAAACCAAAAATGGAAAAAGGCTATTAGCACCCTAATAAAGTCTATGTTATTAGAAGGTAGATATTCAGCATAAAGCCTACAAAAAGAAAAGTGAAGATGAAGGAATGAATGAGTTCATTTTCCAGAAATGAGAAGAAAAGAAAAATCATTGAATTTGATGTTTGTGCTGATTTCATTCTCATCAAGGAATCCTATTATAATTTCATTTCCCCTGAAGATTTTCTTTTAGAGAATATAATCACAACACATCGATTCCAATCTGCTTCAAAATCATAAACTACACACTACTTGAAACTTTCATCCTCCTGCAAATTCTAGAAAATAGATATTTTCCTATTTTTATGGATAAATACTTTGAAGTCTGGCTAATAAGTAGCAGAAATGGGATTAACCCCTACATATAACTGACACTGCACTCTATCAAAATCAGGAAACCCTAAAATAACAGAAACAAAGATATACATACAGAAAAGCAGCAATGGTCTAGATGTAGCTGCTACAAAGAAGTTAAGAAGGATAAGGACTAAGAAAAATGTCCTTATATTTAGTGCTTTGGGGACTTTTCAGTAAAAATTGGTTAGCAGCCAGATTGCACTAGATTAACAACCAATAAAACAATAAAAAACTAGGGCCATCAAGCACAAAAAACTTTCAAGAAATCTTCCTGTAAAAGAAAAGACAATATCATAAAGAGATCTATTTCACTTCAACTCTAATAGGAGTTTTTGCAACAATTTATATACTGTTCCTTCTGAAAAAAGCTATGGTTCAAACCAGTGAAGATCCCTCAACCACAATGGTACTCCAGAGAAAGATTCTCCATAAAATGCACCAGACTCTGAGATGGCATCTTCTATTCATTTACTCTCTGAGTGTCCACTTTGGATTCAAACAAATGGAATTCCTGGAGACTATTTATTTTTACTTTCAAAATACATTTTTCATTAGGAATGCCAATGGGAAAAATACAATTCACTTTCAGTGTTTTAAAATCACTTTCCTGGAACATATCTACTTAACTGACAATTTAATAACAACCTCTCAGAAAGACTGCACATGTTTATATATACAACGATAAAATGAATTTTCTCTGTGTTTTAGCCATTAAGTTTTTATTATTTAAGAGAATAGTGTTTGCTTCTCTTGGTACTCATAATGTTTTAATATGAATTTACCTTGTGTTGAAAAGTTTTATATATAAAATCTCAGGTTTCAATCGTAAGATCCCACTCACTGAATTTAAACACAAGAATCCTAAGTCTAGAATTAAAATCTGTTTAATGTCTCAAAAATACCAGAAGCCTCTATCACAGTCAGAAAATGTATACCTTTGTAAAACTAACAGCAGGAGTTAGGGGAACAGTACATAGTTTAAAGCACATTTCATATTTTTAAACACTGTTAGAAAAAGCATTAGAGCCATTTAGGAGACCAGACAATGATTTTTAAATGATAAGCTATGTGATAGGCACCAAAGTATTATTATGTTTTAAACTTGCAGCTCCCTTTGTTACTATTCATGACTCTATATCTATTTGTATATAAAAACGAGATACACAAGAAATTCTTGATAATAATTTGAAGGATAAATCAGTAATCACACTGTTTTGTTTTTTACTGAACTGTAGTTGACATAAGGATATAGTGGGAGTTAATCTCACTAAGTCAGCAGCTACCCCCATACACACTATGTCTGCAGTGTTAAGATAAAGCAAACCACTTCATCTAATTTTTTTTCTTTTGGTTGAAAGAAAACTCAAGAATTTAAATCTGAATTCTTCATGCAGTTGTTTGTCTTTTTTAAAATTTTGGGGGCTCTGATTATTTTTAAAAGATACAGTAGTTTAGAAATGTAAAGCTTGTTCATCTTTCAAGAGTCCTATATCGAGCAATAAAAATTAATTTGTTGTGAAAGCATCATAAGGTTATAGTATCGAAACACAATATAAATTAACCTTATTAAGACCCTTGCTGCATTCCTACTTTTCTTCATTCGTGATATAAATTAGTTCTATAGTACTTACGAATGAGGAACTCTGTAAAGAAAACATACTTGTGAGTGACATATACCTAAAACTGCAGAAAGAAAAGGGAGGGAGGAGAAGGAAAGGAGAGAGTAAAATGAGAGAGGACAGGAAGGAAGGAAGAAATAAAAGGGGAGAGAAAGGGAAAAAAGGAGGGAGGGAAGCACAGAGAGGAGACCTTCTAGAGTAGTCAAATTCCAGAATAGTTTCCGTTACAGTGTAGCTATGAAATGTCCTCCAAAGGACAGGTGCTAAAGGCTTGGTGGAAACTTTAGGAAGTGAGGCCTAGTTAGAGGATGTAGGACATTGTTGGTGTGCCCTTAAAGGGTTTAGCTTCCCTAGCCCCTTCCTCTCTCCCTTTTCCTCTTTCTCACTCTTTCATTCTGACGCTTGTCCACTATGAGGTGAACCATTTTGCTCCCCTCATGCTCTCCAACATCATGCTCTGCTTCATGATAGGCCCAGAAACAACTTAACCAAGTGACAATGGACAGAAACCTCTGAAACCATGAGCCAAAATAAATCTCTTCTCCTTTAAGCTATTTTTCTCTGGAATTCTGTCACAGTGATGGGAAGCTCACATAGTCTTAAAGCAGCAACTTTGTTTCTACTCTAAAGAAACATGAGAACTTTGGCATTGATTATATGGAATCAACATGATTTCTTATATAAAGTACATTCTCTGCCATCAGAAAGCTTGCATTTGAAATCCAGTTCTACTGCTATCAAGTCTATGATCTTGAGAAATGTATTTAATTTTTGTCTGGTTCAATTTCTTATCTGAATAATGGAATAATTTAATGCCTGCTATCTCATAGAATTATTACAATGATTAAATAAAATTATGTATTTAAAGAGATAAAAGACTTGGCACCTTGTGATACTAAAAAAAAAGTTATTTTCACTTTTCTTATCATCATTATGTTCCTTCAAGCACTCATCTATAATCACCTAACACACTAAATCTCAAAATCATTTTTTCATGTTATGACTCTGTGACGTTTTTCCTACTTGGTTCATCCACATCCTTTTATTTTTCAATATTCTGTTGTATTTCAACTTGATAGTTTTATTTTTGTACTCATAAGTGATTAAGAACTTAGGCTATATGAATCTCACAGAGCAAACTTTTTCCCATTTACTAAAATGTAATAGTATTTAATGATAGATACTAATAAGCAGATAAGAGAAAATCTTATTAAAATAGAGAAATAAATTTTGCAAGTTTACAGAAATAAATTCTACCTATTAACCAGATTCAATATCCATATTTAAATATTCTCATCTTTAAATTATTTAATATATTTTAGAAGAAAAAACAACAAATTTCTTTTCTAAAATCTGAACAGTTCTGTGGTTCTCTTACTTTTTAATCAAAAGCAAAAAGAAAACCCATTTAAAACATATTGCAATGCAGGCATATGCTTCTAATACCAAAGACAGGGCCGAATTAAAAAAAAAAAAAAGTGAAAATGAGAAAAATGAGTCATGTGACCTTCTGGAGAAGAAGCAATAATACTCGTATGACTGGAGAATTTGTAGACTACTCTGAAAAGCGTGGGGCCATGCTAGAACAAATCTGTCTGCTCAGCTGGTTTCCAGTACCATAGTTCATTCATAATTCAAAACCAATAGAAGCATTTTTATCTAGTAGAGGAAAGCTGGGGAAGGGGAGTAAAAGTTACTGGAATTAAAGGAGGGGATCCAGATTGCTTTCAATTTAGCTCTAAATTAACAAAGGAAAAAAAACATAAAAACAAAACATTATTTGTTAGCAAGAACTCTTCTAGGGTTCCCAAATTGAGTCCAAGAAAAGTGTTCATTTTTGGTCACAAAAGTGGAAATGTGTGTATATTACTTTCCTATTTGCTCAATAGTTCACAAATGTTTTTTTATAATTTTACCTGTTTCACGTTGCCATAGCTTGCCCACAGCTCAGATCAGTCTTAACTAAGCTTCCTCAGAACCCACAGGCACCTCCGGGTAGAGTGGCTGGGCTTACCCATACTCATTTTGATTGGCAGGTTTTCTCTGCTTGCTGCGTCCACTAGATGTCTCCGAACCTCCATGACTGCTTCTTTGTGCTTGATATTCAGTAAGGCTTCCCACAGGGCTTTGGCTGCCAAGTCACTGCAGCAGAACCACAAAAAGAACTTTAGAATAAATTTTTACTAGAAAATGAATGAGTTGAAAGAAAAAATTTAAATATATTTTTGAGCATTAATATAGTTTTTCCTTCTGATAAACTTGAAGTACTAGGATTCAATAAAGAATATCTAATTCATTTAATTGGTACAATATTGAAAAATTAAGCAGATAATAAAATAAAGACAAAAAGGGGAAAAGGCTACATTATGCTATTTTATGTGGGAAAAAGTATTTGATAAAATATCCTTAAGACTTTGCACTCAAAAGTATTCAGAGTACAATTTAACATTTAAATGCTATGAAGGCAAAATTAAATGTATGTCTAAAATTACTTTATCAATGCAGATAAGCAACATATCTATTTGAGATAATATATTTATCTAAGAAACACAAAACAATCAGCAATGAGAATTACTATTCAAAAATTACTCAATAGACTTCCTAATTAGTAGGCTTTTTTTTTATTGAATGAAAGCCAGGGCTTGCACTAAGTAACCATGGCCTGAAGTATTCCACTTTGAGCCTTAGATTGGAGGGATGGAACTTACAGAAGCCTTTACAATTAATCGTTGATAACAGCCCAAAGCACTGCATTATGCAGGGTCTCATCTGGGCTCACTTTCCAATAGCTCTCTGTCTCACACAAAATGACTTGTCCAAATTATAAATGAGTACAGTGTTCTTTCCGGAAGATCTCTGCCATGTAGTCAAGTATACACATTTGTAGTAACATTTTCAAAACTAAATATAAAGAAACAAGGATGACTTCTGTCTCTTTCTAAGGACTTCCTCCTCTTCTTAAAGCTTCTCTAACTCTCCTAATATTCAGTAAACAATAGTTTGAAAATGAATGTTTATTTAAAATTTAGTTTGAAAAGTATCTATTAAGATATTAATTAAGCTTTAAAATTATACCTAATAAGATGCATCTTTCAAGCTTTATTTTAATCTGGAATAATAAAGTTTTGTATTGTTGCACTGAGTTTAATGTCTGGCATATGATAATTTTTCATTAAACAGTAGTTGTTTTTATTATCATCTATTTTTCCATAGTAAACTACCATTGTTCAACATCTGATCAAAACAGTCATCGCTGTACCTCTTTCAACAGTTAATCTTGGTAGTCAACTCAACTGGAGTGAGTGATGAGTGGAAAATTGGTAAAACACCCTTCTGGGTATGTCTGAGAGGATGCTCCCAGAGACAACTGGCATGTGGGTCAGCCAGGGTGGGAGATCCACCCTGAATGTGCATGGCTCTGACGGAACAAAATGTGGAAAAAGGAGCCATGCACATGCTTGATTCTTCTTTAGTGAGAACATCTTTATGCTGCTGCCATCATCTACAGATATCACAGTCTAGTTTCTTCAGTCCTTAAATGCAAATTCACACCAGTAACTCTCCAGGGAGCTGCCAGGCCTTCAGCCTTGGATGGGGCTGCATATGGGGCTGAGACTTCCAGCTTCTTGAACTGAGCAGCTACTGGTTTTCCTGCCCCTCCAACTTGCAGATGGACTTGTGGTACTGTCCAGCCCCTGATCATGTGACTCAATCCTCCTTTATATTATATACATATTTGTTTGTCATGTTGCTCTAGAAAATCCTGCCTTATACAATTACGCATCTATTATTCTTAAATTTAATTTAAGCAAGCAGGTAAACTACCATATAAGCCAATGGTGATGGACCTATGGCATGTGCTATTTTTTTTTAAAAAAACAAAAGATGTTGATGTATGAGTTGTTTTTCTCTACTGAAACTTCAGCATTCAGGTTTAATTGTAGTACTGGCATTAAGGAAGTGGGTTTTGGGTTGCAGTTTGGGTACTTGTCTCTAAAAGGTTTGCCATCACTGATACACGGCAAGCTTATGGTTGGTTGGAATATAGACAAAAATAAGGTTTCAATGACTTAAGCTCTGGAAAAAGAGGCAGTCATGGGGGCTGGGGATTTAGCTCAGTGGTACCACGCCTGCCTAGCAAGTGCAAGGTCCTAAGTTCAAGCCTCAGTATCCACCCCCTAAAAAAGAGGCAGTCATGGAAGCAAAGAAATTACAAAATAAAGTGCGATAAAAGCTACAATCAAGGAATGCATGGATTTCTATATAACTTCAACACTGCTGTCTAGTTGGCAACGTGCTTTTTTTTTTTTTTTTTTTTTTTTTTTTTTTTTGTACGAGGGATCGAACTCAGGATCTTGCTCTTGAGAGGCAGACAGCAGCACCACTGAGCTAAATCCCCAGACCCCCAACTACTGTCTAGTTGGGCAGAAGAACTGAGGGAGATTTCTACTGGGAATGACAATTACAAAGAAACATGAGCTCCAAAAGCAGGCAAGGGAAGAAGTTATGTCATTCTAGAAAGGAAAATGGTTAAAAAAAAAAAAAAAAGATTTCAAGAAAAACAGAAAATCTCAGTCACAAAATAAAAGGACATTGGACATTTCAGAGTGTGCAAAGTCCTTGATATATGACACCTAGGACTGTTTTGCTCTCTGCTAAGATGAAGGGGAGGGGCAGTAGAAGGACAAAGAGAAAATGGGAGCCACATTGTGAAGGTTCTGCATTCCTTACCAAGTCTTGTGGACTTTACTTTGAAAGTGACAGAATGCCAAAGAGTTTGTAATTGATTTCACAGCCTGAAAAGAGCAGCATAACTCAGAGTTTATGAACACCGTCTTCATCATAATTCAAAAGTAGGTCTATTTGCTACAGTTTTCAGAAAAACAATTTCCCTAAAGCTCAGCAGTCAATAGAGAACCACTGAAGAATTCTGAGCAGGAAATTACACTTTCAGTTAATCAAATTTATGGTCCATAATCCTATACTACTTTTAATTTCTCCCCAGACCACAGGGATTTCTCAGATAGTTTCAACACTGAACTTTCCAGAGTAGAGCACCACTAATCTCTTCCTTTCCAGGAGAGTATGTGTCTCACTAATATAGTATGTCCCCAAGATGAGAGTGGAGTTTAGATAATGTTATACAGTATTTACCCCATTGTATTAGTACAGTAACCAAAATATGAGATCCAGAGTCAGATAAATCTGGATTCAAACTAAAACACTCTCCCCTTCACTCACTTCAAACATATGACCTCCAAATCATCCTCACTAACACAATGACCTCTTTCTCCCTTTTGCCAGAAAAATTCTTCTTACAAACAACCCCCTACCCCTGAGTTATCTGCAGAAATATCCCCCTTTATCAAAGAAGTCCCTATTATCCTGTATATAGGAGTGGTAAAGCCCATGCCAGGACCTTATTGTAGCACTCTCTTACTTGATTACTTGGCTTTTTTCAACATAATGCTTATGGCCATTGGACTTATTGTTTCCATGTTGTTTGCTTACTGTATATCTCCCTCATGAATGTGAGGTTCTTTAATGAAGTTAGGCACTTTGTTTCACTCACTGCTAATTCCATACTATCTAGAATGGTGTCAAGGCTATGGTAGGTATACTCTACAACTACTGAATACATAATACTTGCTACTTATGTAACTTTTTGCACATAATTATTTCTCTCCTTTATCAGCTTTCTCATCTATGGAGGTGAAAGTAATAAATGTGACTTCACAGGACTTGTAAGGATTAAATGAAATAATGTATACAAAGTACTTTCCTGATTCACAATAATGTGAGTAGATATAGCCAGGCATGATAGTGCACAGTCCCAGCTACTCAGGAGGCTGAGAGGCAGGAGGACCATAAGTTGAAAACCAGTCTGGCAAACTTAGTAAAACCCTGACTCAAAAAAAAAAAAAAAAAAAAAAAAAAAAGTTATGGCATAACCTTTGCTTAGCTCTGCATGAGGCCCTGTGTTCAAATCCCCCATACTGAAAAAAAAAATTGCTTAGTTGTATATTTGTTGTAGTGATTGTTACTACTATTACTACTATTATGAATAATAGTCACAGTTTTTACATCCAACTGTTTGTAACATAATGGATAAATTCACTTAAATAGATTCATCTTGATTAGTGCAGATATTGTAGAGTATGGTAATATGTCACTTAGGGCTTATACTCTCTGGCTTTTATTTATTAAAACACAGAAGTACATAGTTTCCATGACCTCTAACACTGACACATAGACAAATCATGTTTCCTTGAAAATTGTTTTGTTGACATAAACAATTCTTATTGTTTAGATATGTCTGACTTCCTAAATGCTTTCTGCTCTAAACAGTTTTCTAAATACACAGTACTAACCTCTATATCACACATGGTCATTTTAAGTTTACCAAGAGAAAATTCATGAAATAATTCAGGTTCTCTAAATAACTGAATAATCACATCACTATGCACACACTCCTGCTGAACATGCGAGTCAAGTGTGGCAGTTCAGTCACAGTCTTTCTCTAATATCCTCATAAAATTTTATCCAATATGCTTTATACAAATGATATTTCACATGAAATCAACTCGTGATGTGGAATTTCACAGCCGAGAAAAGTTCATTGAAATCTACATCATAATCATACTAGCGGGTTTTACCTAATTCTTTATTTTCTCCAACTATGTAAACCTCTATTTTCCTAGTTAGGAAATAAACAATACAGAGAAGGTTGTTTCATATGCCAGTGTAGTGAATCAATAGCAGGAAGCGGTACTGCAGAATGGCAGAAACATGGACTAACCATAATGGGACTCTGGCTTTGCCACTTATTAGCTCCATATTATCCCTAGGAACATTATTTAACCTTGCTGTACATGTTTTCTTGTCTGTCAAGTGGGGATAGTTACAGTATATATTCAGTAAGTTGCTATGAGAATTGAATGTATAAATATATATAAAGTACCTAGAACGATGCTGGATCCGTAAGTATTCAATAAACTCAGCAGTAGCAAGAGCAGCATTAGTAGTAGTAATAAAAAGATCAAAGGTAAAATTTTCCTGGTAAGATATAGAAGGAAATCTACTTTAGAAGTAGTCTCTCCCACCTGCTACGTATAGGTACATAGCATCAGCAGCAGCTTCATCTTCTAATATGAAAAGGTCAACACTATGTAACATGGAATTTATGATATACCCTGAAATCTTCAAATCAGGTAACCTTTCTATATATGACAAATTGATGTAAAGCATTTTTATTTTTTAGAAATAAAATAAGGCACTTCTCATGGGTTACTCTGAAGCTGACAGCTGTTGGAAAGTTTTTCTTATGTAGGTTTTTTAGTAATGACTTCAGTGCCAGCTTCTTTTGTTGTTGTTGTTGTTGTTGTTGTTGTTGTTGTTGTTGTTGTTGTTGTTGTTTGAGACAGTGTCTCACTATGTAGTCCAAGCTGGCCTCAAACTCACAGCAATCTTTCTGCCTCAGCCTCCCAAGTATTAGGATTATAGGCCTGAGACACCATACTCAGCCCCAAGTGCCAGCTTCTTACCTTTCTAATCCCGTTACATTGAAAACTCAAAGGTTGTTCAAGACATCTTAAAACAATCACTGCTACTTTAAAGAAGAGCTACATCTGAGGCGCTCGCATGCTATAAGTACTTCCCGGCTGATTACCTGGCTATATAATTCATAAGTCTATAGTGAATAATTAATAAGCTTTACATATTCGGCAGGTATGATTAAATTAATTTTTAGTTTTTGAAAGCACCTGAAGACATGTTTTAAGGTGCCTGAGAAAAACAGTACAGCACAAACCACACTGTTACCAGCATACCTAATTGAAACCATTTGTGTTCTATTATAACTCACTTCATCTTGCTTCCTTGCTTCTCCTAAGTTTACAAGCATTCAGTCGACATCTTTATAATAAGGCCTGCCAAAAACGAGCTTCTTTCTTTCTTTTTAATAACTAAATTAAAAAAGATTATTGAAAGGCAATTATATTATTAAGATATATTTTCAAATACCAACACTACATCCTATATAAAAAGCATTTTAAAATTTACAAAACATCTCACATCTCTTTTTTTTTTCTTCTCACTGAGTTTACTGGTACATTTTAGGTATACAGTACATTTACATTCATCATTGGGATCTTTTACCTTTACATGACAGGTCTTGATTCTCACATTTTCCCCTTACCCCTGCTACATCTCACACCTTATTTGGTCTTCACCTCAGAAGCTAAGTCATTATCACTGAATTTAAGGGTCCTCAGAGAAACCAACCAACTTACCTACACTCGACTTAGAAATGACAAAAACCAGACATTGCCAAGATAACAGGCCATGAAGTTCAATAAACTTTCTAGTATCACATGCCATGCTCAGTGGTTAAACACATCATCAAATAGAAGCAATTTTGTAGAGTGTTGATTATTTTCAGTTTGTAACACTGGCTTCCTTTTCTAATCCTTAATGGCCACTATTCTACCTTTAAATTCATATAAGGACCCACATAGGATAGAATAAGGTTAAATGAAGATTGAAATCTATGCATCAAGTAGCCAAAGTTTCTCAGGATTTTGCATGCTTTTTTGATTTAAATAACATCATATTATTTCCCGGTAGTCACAAGAGCCATTGCCAATAACTTTGTTATACAACATTAATCATTTCCAGCCAGGCATGGTGGCACACACCTGTAATCCCAGCACTCAGAAGGCTGAGGCAGGAGGATTGCTGTGAGTTTGAGACCAGCTTGGGCTACATAGTGAGTTCCAGGTCAGTCTCATCTACATATTGAGACCCCGTCTCAGAAAAACCAATATTAATCATTTCCTACTTTTATCCAGCTTTCTTATTTGAAACTTTCTCTCCAAAAATATTTGCTGAAGTTTCAAACATTTCATATAGATTTGATTTATGTAACTGAAAATGTAAAAACACAGCTCTAAATTGCTCAAATTTACTATTTCCAATCTAGCTTTTATTTTTTTGTTCATTATATCCTGAGGAAAGAGAGAAGGAAAAATATCCTCTGATTATTTTATGACATAAAACTGAGACAAAATGAAATCACTTGCATAATATCTCATTATTAATAAAAATTTTGGTCAACCATGATGGCATACACCTATAATCCTAGCTACAAGGAAACTGAGGCAGGAGGGTTTCAAGTTTGAGGACAGCATAAACAATATAGCAAGACCCTGTCTCAAAAACTAAATTAAATTAAATTAAAAGGACTGGGGATGTAGGTCAGTGATAGAGCATCCCTGGATTTACCCCTAGTACTTAAAAGAAAACTAAAAGGAGATTGAGAGCTCAAGTCTACCACTGGACGTGCCAATGAGATGATTTTATAACTTTGGGCAATTTAGTTATCTTTCTAGGTTCTGCTTATAGATATAACTCATTATTGTTTTCTTTTATTGAGAATTCACTGTCATAGACAATATGACTGTATCATCTCATTGAGGCAGGCAGCCAAACCACTTAGCCAAATCCCCGGCCCTGTATCATCTCATTGAATAGCAAAGTTCTAGGTTAAGTTTCACTGATCCCATTCTACAAATAAGAAAGCTGATTCTTTATGAGATTAAATTATTTGCACAAATTACACAACCAATAAATTAGGATTTGAACCTGAGTCCACATAGACTCCAAAGTCTATCCATCCATTAACCAAGATCCTGCTCTATTCTGTAACAGACTTGAACTATAATTCCAGGGTCTGAGATTCCCTATTAAGCTACATTTACAAGGTGTGCACTATGTCCTGGTGCTCCAAATTCACATG